CCAAAACCGTATATTGAAACACAAATAATTTTATATACTCAAGTCAAATTCAGTGTAAATGACATCATTTCAGTCTCTTCTTTTTTTTTTGCCTTTGCAACCCCAACTCCATTTAGCCTAACAGCCACTGCAATGCCTAACTGCTGTAACTCCATAGCCTCATTTACTAATGTTAATGCACTTATTCATTAGCATTGATTTACTAAGTGATTCAGCTACGTGTAAATGAAATACATAAAATTACCAATTAATGAGAAAAGATAAAAACCAACAAAAAATGTTTGGAATATCTACCACAGAGAAATAGAAGCCATTACACAACTAAGTAGAGGAAAGTTTCAGTTCCAGCCCAAAACACGACAGGAGAATGAAAAATTAGAGATGACAAACTAAATTCTAGCACAAAAAGTTACCAAAATCCAGACAGTAAAGTCACTAATCTAAACCATAACAATCTCACCAGTCTTAACCATTAGCAACTAAAGCAAATATTTTTCTTATTCAATACCTCCCCTTTTGCTTTTCATACCGCATGAATGTGATAGGTTCACAGCATTTCAGTGACTGATTTTATTCCCCTCTATTTTAAGAGCCAAAACGCCAAAAAATCATAAGCATAATCTAGGAAACGTAGTAACCTAGACTACAAACCCCCAAAACCCTAACCAAGAAATCAAACAACCCCCACTGTCACACTCACACCCCCCAAACCCTAATTACAGAGAATAAGCAAAATACATAACCCCCCTATGATAACCTCCCAGAAAAAACACACAACCAAGAACTTCGAACGCACAAGAAATCGGAAATCCTAAACCCGAATCCAATCCCCTTAGCTACGGCAACAAACCCACCAAAATCCGGGAAAAAACATCACAAAACAAACAAAAAAAGAAATTAAAAAAAAAAAGAGAGAGAGAAGGGTGATAGATAGTACCCGCACTAGACGAAGACGAGATACCCCTAAGTCGCTTAGACTGCCTCCTGCTAGACCCATCCATGGAGACACTGACGCCGGACAAGCGATGCAAGGCTCCGAACGGAGGGAGAACAATCGACGAGAGAGATGAGAAGCGCAAGAATACAGACAGAAGCGATGAGAGCAAATCGTAGAGAACCAAAAGGCCAACTTAAAAAATGAATATCGAAATGCTTAGTCACGCCGGAAATAAAGCCTAGGGATAATAAAAGCATAAGCCAAAGTACAAAATTACCTCTTCTTACCTAAACAATTAGCGCACATGGGGAATAAAACAACACCATCCGAGCCCTTGATCAAAAGAAATCAACGACCAGGAAGTGTGCTCACGAGCTCGGCTGACTAGGGGGTGTGCACCGGATTCAAAATCTATATATATATATATATATATATATATATATATATATATATATATATATATATATATATATATATATATATATATGTACATTTTTTGGGGATTTTTAAAGAAACTGTCAATTGGGCACAACTTCACCGAAACTGTCAATTGGGCACAATTTCACCTTATCACAAACTGACACAATCTCCCTACACAGCTTGAAATCTTGTATACTATATATACATTATACATATATTTTTTTATAAATACGGGCCACCCAAAAATTAGGGGCCATGTGCGGTTGCACATGTTAGACATGCTCAGAACCAGCCCTGAGTCCATATGCTTTTCTGAAACTGTGATACAAAAATCACACTACTAATTAAAAATATTATCAAATCATGACAAATTGCAAAATTCCATAATTGCAATTAATAGCCATAATAATCAAAAAATATTAAAATAATTAGGTGATTTAACATGGAAAATCAATTGCTGAAACTGCAAGCCTTTAAAACATTTTTGAAATTTTTTTAAAAACTTAATACACCCAAAATAGGTCTCAAATAGCTTGTTCAAAGTAAGTTTTAAAGTCCTAAGTGAAAATATGACTAAAACACACACACACACACAAGGTGGGGGGAGGGGGGGGGGGGGCAGTTGCCCCCTCACCCCACCCCCACCCCATATATAATATTTGTATGTATATATGTATATATAGTACAAGTTTTAGTATTAGTATAAAATAATTATTAACTGTTAACAAGAAATGAGTTAGATTAGTTGGTAGATAACATCTTTGGTAATAATAAAGGTTAAGGGTTTGAATCTTTTAGCATTGAACATTAATAGCTTTTAATATTTCTCTCTCTCACACACACACACACATATACATATACATATACATATACATATACATATATATATATATATATATATATACATATATATAGGGACGCACTCAGGTGCGAATAAGTGCCCAGGAAGGAAATGCGAAAGAATCAGCGCGCGACACGTGTCCAGATCTAATAACTTAAAAAAAAACGCGGTGGTATTTTCGTAAATAATTGAACATCGAAGTGCAAGTAAAATCTCTTATAAGTGCACCTATTTTCACCTATAAGTGCATGTAATTTTGCCTTGTTAGCATTCACTTTCCGCAACCATTCATGCACCTGGGTGTGCTTATAACTATATGTGCAACTATTTATAACTATAGGTGCAACTACTTATAACTATAGGTGCAACTACTTTCACCTGTGAGTGCATGTAATTTTGCCTTGTTAACATTCATTGATCTGAGTTCAGCGGGTAGTAATACTCCTGAAAACCACTCGCAAACATTCATACACCTAGATGCAACTACTTATACCTATGTGTGCAACTACTTAGAACTATAGGTGCAACTACTTAGAACTATAAGTGCAATTAAGTATTGATGCTCAGTGTAAATTTTTACTTGCACCTATAATATATTTTACATGCACTTGTAATACATTTTACTTGCACTTCGATGTTCAATTATTTACGAAAATGCCACCGCGTTTTTTAAAAAAATCAGTGTTTCTCATCCATTAGATCTGGACACGTGGACGAACAGAATCCATTCCTATTTCGCGCCTGGCTGAGCCGTTCGCACCCGAGTGCAAGTCTATATATATATATATATATATATATATATATATATATATATATATATATATATATATATATATATATATATATATATATATATATATCATTCTTTTATATTAAAAGTGAGATGTGTAATTTATAATGTGTTTTCTAATTAAATTATTTTATTAAATTAATTATGTTTCATATTTTGTTATGAATATTTTTATAAAGTTTCGATATGTTTTATTTTTCGCACATATCCAACAATAGTTACAACTATATTTCTTAGGTAATTTTTTTTTAAATTATCTATTTTGTTTTAATGTTTCGCTTTTACTGAAAAAATTTTCTGAATCCGTCCCTACTGCTTCGTCCCCCCCGCCCCCCCCACACTCCCAAATCGAATTTCTGGCTCCGTCCTGACTAAAATATATTAAAAAAAACTTTAGGGAAGCAAAATTGAAAAGAACGAATAATAAAATAGATATAAAGTAGTGAAATAGTTTTTCTTATTATATAGGTAACGGATAAGTTTAGGAAATTAGATAGATTTTGTTTATCCAAAATAAATAGTTTCCTAGTAAAAAAAAAAAATTAGTTCAGGTAGTAATAAATATTTTGTAAAAAAGAGTCAATTGATGATTTTTTTTTAAAAATGAAATAGCATTTTCTTATTCATCGTCGATATATAGCATACATCTATATGCATCAAATATTTTTTTTTAAAAAAAGAATAACCCATTAAATAATTAGGAAGAGCAATTGACATCTCTACGTCAAGACAACCAAATCTAAACGATTCTTGCCCCAATATATATTTGGCAACTTGCTTCCACTTTCAATTTTATATTGGAAAACGTTCACCCCATTTGTATTTAATTGTATAATGAATGAAATAAGTTATAATAGAGAATTAGAGATAAGCATTTTTTTTTTAATTGTTGATTCTTATGTAATTTAGTTGATCAATTTCAATTTCAATCAAGGTGGTTTTCAGTTGCAGGACTAAATTGAATACCACATTGACTAAAGTTTAAAATGCCTTTCAAAAAAAAAATTAAAATGAAGAATTAATTTAAATCCTATAAAGGCTAACAATAAGGGGACTAAAAATACAATTTATCATTTATAATGTATATCGTAATTATTTATGTTAATTAATTATTCTAGAATTAACCCTCTACATTATAAGTAAATTTTAAAAGTCATTGCATTCAAAATAAAACCTTATACAAAAAGATTTGCTTGTATACAAAGAAGAAAAAAAAAAAGACGAAGACTAAGACAATTTATCCCATAAAATGAGACTATATCACTTTCACCATAATAGTAATAATAAAAAAAGATTGAGATCATCAAGAGAAACATCAAACACATTGCATGAAATAGCGACAACTCCAACTAATTTGGTCTGATTGTTGATTTGATGACTACAAATTTATAAGTACTTGTAATCATTTATCGATTAATATCACAAAATCGTGTTTATTTTAAGATAGTGGCTAAGAGCGGATTGTAAAGTCTAACCTTTGCAGGGCGTTTGGTTGGAGCGGGGGAATTATGTGGGAAAGGAATTGTAATTCCATGGGAGTTGAATTACTGGGAATAAAGTGGGGATTTAAATTCCAGTGTTTTGTTGACAGGAATAGAATTACTGGGAATTTCAATTCCAATGTTTGGTATACATGGGAATTGAAAGGGAATAAGTAGTATAAAGTCAAAAATGTCCATTATTGTTGTTAGACATTAATTTTAGGTTAAAAAAGGAATGGGTAATTTTGACTCATCACTATCTTTTTTTCCCAGGAATTAAAATCCCGGGGGGGGAGGGGGGAAGGGAGGGGGGGGGGGGGGACATGGGATTTTAATTCCATGAAAATGGGGGAATTGCACTCCAACCAAACTACGAAATTTAATAGTCTTTGGAATTAGGTGGGAATTAAGTGGGATGAGAATTTAAAATTCCTCTAACCAAACGCCCTGTTCGTACATGGTATTAGACTTTGTAAATTAGGTTCATTTTCATCATCAGCACAGTTATGATAAACTTCATAAAATTTTTGGTGATGTGAAATGTGAACATGGCCTTTAATTATTTAAAGAAGAAAAAAACACACCAACTATTACTATTATACAGAGAAAAATAAATTAAAAAAAAAAACTAAAAATAAGAAAAAGAGGAATGGTTCAAGACCCAATGCATGTCACGTGCCACAGACTTTTTTTTTTTTTTTTTTTTTTTGGTTAATAATATTATACAAAAACTAGACAGAAAGTCTGAAACTGGAACGGAGTCACTAAATAGTTACGATCAGCATATTCTTTCATGATTCGTCGCAAAAGAAAAAAAAAAAATTAGAGATTGGCACCAAATGGATCGTCTTCAAGAAAACAATTCTCGGAAAGAAGCTGGAGATACTCGTCGTACACTTTATCCAGCAAGCAATCGTCGGGGAGTGCACATTGCGGCGAGAGATGATCACCGGCGGCGGCGGCGGTGAGAACTTCGGCGCAGAAGTCGTCTCGAAGCTCGTACAAGTTCCAGGGAATGAAGGACGACGACGACCCATCCGCCATGGCTTTATTCTCCACTTCCCCAGAACTGGAAGAAACACTTCCGGCTATATCGTCGACGCTGTTGTTCCTCGACACCCCGCCGGAGGAGAGGCGAATGGCTTTGGGAGCGTAGACTTTGTAGCGCTGATTATCGTCGCTTTCTTTCCTCTGCTGCTGCTGCTGCTTGGGCTTCTTCTTGGCGTCGCCGGGTTTCTTGGGCGCGACGATTTTCGTCGCCTTTTTCTTGGAGGCGACGATTTTTCTGGGCTCGATCCCGGAGCTCTTGAGCTTCTTGAGGAGATGAGTGTTCCAGTAGTTCTTGATCTCATTGTCCGTTCGACCTGGCAGCCTTCCTGCAATAAGGGACCATCTGTTCCCCAGAAGAGAATGGAGGCGCACGATAAGATCCTCCTCTTCCTGGCTGAAATTCCCCCGCTTGATCCCAGGCCGAAGATAATTCATCCATCTCAGCCTGCAACTCTTCCCACATCTTAGCAGTCCTGTTAGTTTCCACAGATCGATAGATCGATTTAATCACCAATCACTGAACCCAAAAAACCCAAAAAAGTGAGAAAAAAAAAAGATACCAACCAGCTTTCTTGGGCAAAGATCTCCATTGGCCTTCGCCATGTTGCTGAATGTAATTGGTGAGAAGTAAATCTTCTTTGGTAGACCAAGGGCCCTTCTTCAGCCCTTCCTTAGAACAGCAAGGAGCTCTTCCCATCTCTCTCCCAAATTCAAGAAAGAGAGAGAGAGAGAGAAAACTCCACAAGTTTGTGAGGAGGGAGAGAGTGGCAGCGCCTTTCCTTTCTAGGCAGGACTGGACTGGACTGGGGAGCAGCAGACCAATAAATAAGGCTGAAACTAAATAAGTACGGGCCATATCTCTCTTAGCTGTTTTTTAACATTATTTTAATGCATGTGTTTTTCACAATTTGCATATTTTACAAGCAATGTATATGCAATTATGCAAACAATAACTTATTTATGTAAATATTAACGGTGTGATTGCCTCATTGGTCCACCTTTTCACTTTTTTAACTTGCATACTTCAAAATTTTAGGAAACCAAATTTATAAGAATACAACACCACCACCACCAAAAAGAAATATAGAATATTCTTTGAATCTCGCATTTTTGGACAAATAAATGAATACATATAATACTTCTTTAAATACTTGCGGCATAAAAGTGAGGAAAAATATATAAAATTTGATGACTCTCTAACAACTAAAGGCGGGCAATTCAGTTCGATAATATACCGAAGAATTGAACAGTAAGAGATTCTTGTATATCGAACAGTTTGATAACAAACGAACTGAACCAAACTGAATTGAATATTGTTTTTTTTTCTTTTTAATAATAATAATAATAATAATAATAATAATAATAATAAAGCAGTAAATCAAAGTCCCTTGCTGCTTGTTCCACTGTTCAGCTCATATTCATCTTTCTTAAAATTTTTATTTGATTTCTTTATGGCTTGATCTCTACGTTTTATTTTTTTTGTTGTTTGCTGCAATTGTTTTTTCATCACAGTTATCTCTAACTTAAGTTATTCTTACAATATTTAGTATTTTCCTTAATTTCATGCTTCTATGAAATTAATGTGCTTCAACATTATTCTAATTTTTATTTCCAATGCATGGAAGCATTGGAAATATATTTCCAGTGCACTGGAAATATATTTTGCCGAGCAATGACGGGTTGCGTCCAAAAATAACTCTATAGTATTTGTCTATTTGACACTTGTTCTCCAAATATTAACTATATAGATTAAAAAAACATTCCAAGTGAGCCAACTGAAGAGTTAGTTGGGCAAAAAAGTAACTGATATTTGGTAATTAATACTTAGTAGTGTGTTTGAATTTTGGATTGCTATTTTGTTATATAATGTTTATACTTTGGATTTAGACTATGTGAATATGTATTGTTTGATTGGTAGTTTGTTTGAAAAATTAGGAAATGTTGAAAATTGGGGTTCTTAAGCCGAACCGAACTAATCTTGAACCGAAACCGAACTTTTTCAAATCGAATAGAAACCAAACCGAATTATAATGTTAAACCAAATGGTATCATTTTTTTAATACCAAAATATCGTTACTGAAATCGAAATTGAAAAAAACCAAACCGAATCTCAAAACACCCACCCCTACCAATAACTCCGGCAAGTCTCCGATCAATTTTCGGCGAGATTTCAAAGACGAATACCCATGATCGATGACCCTCAAACGCGATGGAGAAGGCGATCAAGTTGGTCTCCTTTTCCGGTGACAGGAGAAGGCATACCAACTTGTCCCTGGAATATCCTCGAAAATTAGTTAGAGCCTCGCCAGAGTTGTTGAAGTGTTGTCGGAGTTGGATGAAGGGTTATCGAAGCCTTAGTGACATGCAATTACAGGCCACCAACCGATTTTTAGGCTTCAATGCTCTAAAATAACATGTTTGGGTTTAATTGCATCTTTTGAAAGTTTATGAGTCTAATTGACTTTTCGAGTAATGTTTAGGGGCTTATTTGACTATTTTCCCTATAAGTAATGAATAAGCCCTATAAGTAATGAATAAGCCTTGTGTGAGACAGTTTTATCGTGAGATGTGTAATACTTTTTAGTTTAAAGTAATACGTTTTATGAGTGCATAGAAAAATATTAAATTTCAATTTAAAAGTATTATACTTCTCATACGAGATAGTCTTACACAAGACTTACTCATGAGTAATACTCCTCGCGTCTCATTTTATGTGTTTGATTCGGTTAACGAGGTTTGATTGAAATTATTTTTAATTCAATTTTTCATAATATTAAGTTTAGTATTAATATATAAAATTTATAAACCAAAAAGCTTATGATCAAGCGGCATAATTGTGACTCTATCAAATGGGAAGTCACAGGTTCATATCCATGTGGGTCCGTAAAATGCACATGAGAGTATAACCTAAGATTCTACCGTCTTTATCTTGTATTTTATTGTTATGAGGGTGTTTGGCAATAATTAAATATCAGATAGATGATCGTGTTAGTTGTTTTGATCAAGTTGAATTGTTAAAATTGATCAAAAATTAACATTTAGTTCATAAACAATTTACCTCAAGTTGTGTGTGTGTTTTTATTTTATTTATTTATTTCATTAAGTTGTGTATTGGCCAATCAATTTACGACTAGTTATGTGTTTCCATTGGTTAATTAATTAAAAATGTCAATGTTGAAATTGAAAATTTTTACACAATGGTTTTTGTTATTAAAAACAAAAAGCTTGAAAGGGAAATGGAATGTTTCCACACTGAATATTCAAAATAAATAATCAAACTTTCCCACGTAAACGAAAAAAAAAAAAAATCACTTCCGTAAAGCATAAATTCAAGTAACCCAATCATATAATCTTGCTGTATTCAAAATTCAACAACAAAAAATGCATACATACTTACGTACGAGTGCACAAAAATTAAACTATGTATTACCTTGTCCCAAAAGAAACGAAAAGAAAACAAGAACAATGCAAAATGTAATGCACTGGATAGTGAAGCAAAAAAAATAAAAATAAAAATAAAAATAAAAATAAAAATAAAAATAAAAATAAAAATAATAATAAAAATAATAATAATAAAAATAATAATAATAATAATAATAATAATAATAATAATAATAATAATAATAATAATAATAATAATAATAATAATAATAATAATAATAAGAAGAAGAAGAAGAAGAAGAAGAAGAAGAAGAGAGAACTGAGGTGAAGAAGAAGGAGAAAATGAAAATTGAATTAATTTTCAGCATGAGGTATCCTAAAATACAGTTCATATATATATATATATATATATATATATATATATATATTCTCACATATTCCTACAAATAGTCTTAACAAATTAACAAACAAACAACAAACAATTAAAATATAGGAACCCCAACTACTATCAATCGCTGCTTCAAGTAGTGTCGTTTTTGGATCCAGCCAATCGTTCTCAAGGTTAATCATCTGCTCACTGTTTCCTTTTCCTTCCCTTGCCTTCTTAGCCTTCCTTATGCCCTTCCTCTCATTTAAGCTACCCTTGAGAGCTGTTACAACACCTCCCCATGCGGAAGATCCTTGTCCCAAGGATCAAATAAGCGAAACTGACTAGTTAATTATATGGTAGTAGTCCTCCCAAGTAGTCTCCTCAGTTGGCAAATTAGATCACTGAACTAGAATCTCAGTTACTACCTTATTATTTCTCTTGACCAGCCTTTTTCCAAGCACAGCCACTGGTTCAACCAATATTTTTCCCTCTCCATCCGTGTTAGGAGGATCAATATGAGGAACAATAATGCCATCCCCTACCCTCTTTTTGAGTTGTGAAATATGGAATACAAGATGTAACAAAGTCCCAGGATGTAACAATAGCATGTAGGTAACTTCTCGAACCTTTTCAATCACCTGGTAGGGCCCATAGTATCTACATGATAGCTTTAAGTTGCCCCTTACTGCCCATGTTACCTGTCTGTAAGGTTGGATTTTGAGGCACACCCAATCCCCACCTCCAAGGATCTTTCACTCCTACCCTTTTCAGCCTGTTGCTTCATCCTATTCTGGGCCTACTGCAAGTTTTCCCTTAGAGCTGCTATGGCATCACTTCTCTCTTCTAATAAGTTGAGTCTTTCCTCCTTTAAACCAAAATTAAAAGCCATCATAGGGGGGGGGGGGGGGGGTTGTAACCGTACAGGGCTTGAAATGGTGTACACTTTTGAGAGAAAAATGATAGTTTTTATTATACCAATATTATGCTAAGTGCAACCATTTGACACAAATCTTGGGCTTTTGAAACACCATACACCTGATGCAGTTTTCTAAATATTTATTCACCCTTTTTGTCTAACCATCAATCTGAGGGTGATAGGCAGTGGAAAGATTCAATTTCACTTGCATATTCTTGAATAAGGCTTGCCAAAATCTACTTGTAAAGATCTTATCCCTGCCTGAGATAATATCCCTAGGTAATCCATGTAGCTTATAGATATTCTCCATGAAAATTTCAGCAATGCTTTCAGTTGTATAATGATGAGAGAGAGAAATAAAGTGGCCATACTTGGTCAACCAGTCCACACACTACTAAGATTGCTTCTTTGCTATTGGATTTGGGTAGGCCCTTTATGAAATCCATAGGAATGCTTTTCCATGCTTCCTCTAGGATGGGAAGGGGTTACAGTAGCCTAGGGCTAGCAACATTTTCATGCTTGCATCCCTGATAAGTATCACACTTCTTCACTAGTTCTATCACCTCTTTTTTATTCCGTTCCAATAAAACATCTGCTTTAATCTTTGGTAGGTGCCTTGTTTCCCAGAGTGTCCCCCCAAAGGAGCTTCATGGAGTTGTAAAATCAAATTTTCCCTTAGCTCTCATGTGGAACCAATGTACAATCTGTCTTTATACTTTAAGAACCCCCTCCCCCCCCCCCCCAAACACAGAGATGTTAGGATTATCAGTAGGGTTTATTAAGCTTGCTGTCAGTGTTTCAGAGGCCCAGGAATCCCCTTCATTGCTCATTATTACTTCTTCCATCCACTGTGGTTGAACTACAGAAATGGCTTGTAGTTCAGGATCACAGTCTTCCATCCTCCTTAAGAGAGCATATGCTACACCATTGTCTACTCCTTTCTTATACTGAATGGAATAATCTAAACCCAGTAGTTTAGTATGCCCTTTCTATTGTAATGCAGTGGTGATTTTCTGTTCCAGCAAGAATTGCAGACTGTGGTGATTTGTTCTTATAGTAAAATGTCTACCCAAAAGGTAGGCTCTCCACTTGTCAATTGCATTTATGATTGACAAGTATTCTTTCTCATAGATGGATAACTCTAGGTGTTTCTCACCAAAAGCTTTGCTTAAAAAATCAATAGGCCTGCCTTCTTGTAATAAGA